GATGGGATTCGGTCATAATATGAGTTCCCATACCTAACTCGAAGTCATCACTAAACCTATGAGATCTTCATTTCTTCTCCTTGTCTTTAATTATTAATCTTTAAAACTTAGTAATTCAGTAACTATTTTTATTTATAAATTCCTGTATAAATCTTACAAAAGTGAAAAAAAGTAAAAGAACGAGAAGAAGAGAAACCCTAACATCATGGGACAAGATAAACAAGTCAAGAAAGTTTCTCAATTATATGAGCAGAATACTATCATTTTGGCTTCAAATCAAAGTATGTTTGTGTGTAATGTATATATAAACATTTGTAAATAATTTTTTTTTTATCTTATTTCTAAATTTCTCTACATATATTTTCAAGTTTTTTGGTTTTGTAAAATTATTTGGTATGTAGATGAAAATCTTGCTGAGATAGAGAAAGAGAAAAGACTTGCATTGATAAAATCATGGGAAGATAACGAGAAGGCAAAAGCTCAAACCAAGTAAGATTTACCAAATCTATATATAGTCCATAGTTATTAATGATGTTATAAAAGAACATTGTTTTGCATTTCGGATTAATAACAACTTTCTCACGCAAATATTGACGTCAAAAATATATTCTGACATTTCACTATATATTTTTCATGATACGCGAGATTAATTTTTAATATAATATCAATATATTATTTACATTTTGTTCATTGTAAGCAGGGCTTACAGAGAACTTTGCTCCATTGAATCATGGGAGAACAACATGAAGGCAATTCTAGAGTTAGATTTGAAAAAAATGGAGGTATATTATTATATGGAGAATTTAGCTATTCATTGTAAATGTGTGCACATTAGCATATTTCAGAACTCAATAACTCGGCGATATTTGATGTGTTTTAAGTTTTAAACCATAAGTACGAATTCGAATGCAAATAACTAGATATAGTCTGTCTAAATCATCCAATCTTTTTGTCCCTACACCCGATATATCAATTTTGATCACGATTTTTTTTTAATCAGGAGAGTTTAAAAGTGGAGAAAGCTGAATATTCAAAAAGACTCAAGAAAAAAATACCGGAAATTGAAAAAATTGCAGAAGCTAAACGAGAAAAAATAGAGAAACAAAAGGTGCAAGAATCTATCAAAGTGAAGAAAATGAGTGAGAAGCTAAGTGCAACTCCAAGTGCCTATCCACCCAATACCAAAATATGTGGATGTCTCTAGAACATTTGTCTTCCTCTTATGGGTCAATTCGCGGCCCATTAAATCATCTATTGAGCTTGGCTCGTTAATGTAATGATAAGGAAATGTACGTTTCCAACGAATAATAGAAATCTATACAATGTGTGAAGTGTAAACTTTCAAACATCGATGTATATCACTTGTGTGTATAAAGTATGACTCTATGATTCGTGCAATCATGCACAATTCCTCTTATAACTATATAATTATTTTGTCATTGTAGATTAGATCTTCGACAAAATATATGAGTAAATTTTTTAGAAGTGG